GAGATACTTGTGTTGAGAAGTAAATTCAGCATAGGATCCTCCCCTATTATCCTGAAGATACCGCTCCATAGCCTCGATTTGAGAGTTGTAACATGGGTATTCGGATAAAAACTCACGACATCGATACCCAGAGGCCCTGCGTGAAATTTGTGAGTGGAATGAGTATTATTGTTGATCCTGTAACCTTGAGCGAGAATATTGTTGGGTTTTCCTGGATAAATAGCTTCCAGCGGCCTGGTGTTTGAGCGATAAAAGAGAGTATGAAGAGTCAAATCGACAATCTGCACGCGTGATAGTCAGCCAGCCGGGATCCGTGCAGATACGGGAGATGCTTATTTGAAAGCGGGATGGAATGCTTATTAGCTACAGTACCTCGCTTTGGGAACATGTCGGGGGACGGGATCTACCGCTAAGTTGGGTAGCGTCAGCAACGTCCAAAGCCACACCAAAACTGATATCTTTTCTCAATCCGACAAGAGTCGTGTCCAGATGGGCTAGCAGTTCGGCATCGGTGTTTTCATTAATCGCACCGAGCTTCTTCAGGCGACCAGATCTGCGTGAGCAGACCAGCACATGCCTCAGGTATGCATGGAGTGAGAGCAGATGAGGAAAGTACTGCGAAAGGACAGGATGATGGACAGAGGCTGGAATGGGAATCTGGCGAGGCTTCGTGTCCGGGGCGGGTGAAGGTTTGTTTGTTATCGCTTTCGACGCTGCTTGCCCAGGTGGCATTGTCAATGGCGGTGGTTGAGGATGAGGGCGCAATCGTTTTAGTCTAGGATTGCTGTGCCCAGGGTCACCATTGGATGGGAGTCCCTCTCGCTTCCTTTTTCGGCCTCCCATTGGGCTTCCAGGCGAGCTCTCAATATTCAAGGAGAAGGGGGACAGTCTTGTGAGAGAGATGTATTTATTTCTAAGAGCACAGAGCAGAGTACGGGGTGGGGGGGGCAACGGAAGAAGGGCATCGAGATGGTGGTGATGGGTGGGAGGGATCATAGGGACGTGTCTGGGATGAGGGAGGGATAATTGTGAGTACGGTACTGGCGCGTCGAGGTTCGGGGAATTTGGAGTGAGTCCAGAGAAACGCGTTCGGACGCACTGTCCCAAATTTAAAACGCCTAACTTTCCACTTTCACCAGACGTTCACCAAAAACATGATGACCTCTAACCCTCTCCGCTGCCAAGAAAGATGTTGCCCCTGGCCTGGGCTTGTGGGAAAAAAATAATACCGTAAAGCACCAATTATCGTTCAAGGCACGAATGCCTTGCTGTTGTGCTTCACCACCGGCTCCTCCCAGTGGGGAACAGAGTGTATAATAAAAAATAATAATAAATATTTGCTAATTTTTTTTTTTTTACAACCATACCAGTACTACACGATACAGTACTCGTACTGTATGTTACTGTAATATGTAACTCATCATCATGCCCCCTCAGTCCGCAGCACCAGTTCCCGGGTTCATCAGAAGTGAAATATCACCACCATATCATACTGTACTGTACGAGTACATACTCGAGTATTATAATTGCACAGTACTCGTACAGTACTCGAGCACTAGTGCTCGTGCATACATCCATACTGTACCGTACATACTTGTACTCGTACAAGTATGTGGTATTATTATTATTACTGTACACACACATACCGTACCTGGTGACCGTTCCACAAGAACAAAGCTTTCCGTCAACAGCCAAGCAGATGTGCTACATACGAGTAGGAATTTGGACGTCGCTGCCGTAGCCAGATATTTGAGCAGAGGAGATCAGACAGAAGGCAGTGGATGGGAAGCGTGACATTAGTTGACTCCTTTCTGCCTCTATCTTCCTTTACTTTTTGCTTTACAGTTATTTCTTTTTTTCTCTATCCTTTCTTTTTTGCTCCCTCGCCCCTCATTGCCCCCCCCCCTCTTGTCGTAATTCATCTGCCAGCCAGATTCCACTCCTTCAGCTCCCTGATCCCCGAAAAAAGCCTGTTTGCCCTGCAAACTTCATCTCTGAAACTCACCAGAATATTGTCTTCGCAACCGGTATCCGACACGGGAGGTGGTTTGACCTTTAGAAGCATTGCTAAGCATCGACACTCTTTGCAGTACGGAGACCGTACTAGACTCACTGTACGAGTACAAACACAATTCCGTGTCCCATCCCCGTTGATTTTCTCTCACCATCATCTCTCCGCCGCGCACCGTGCTACGATATTCTACAGTGCCCGAGTAGCGTGCATAGGGTTCATCATAGCGCTCCCGACAAGGTGTGTTGAACTATATCATACCTCCTACCCGTAGGGGGTAATAGCGTGCGCTTAGGGCAAGTGTGTGTTGTGGTGGATTGCTCTTCTAATAGAATTGGCCCTTTTTCTTTCCCCCTTCGTGAATCTCGTCTGCTTCGACACTTGTTTCCACCTTCCCGCACCTTTCCCGATCAAGCGCCAACTTTCTCGGAAATAGGAACGGCTATTGTTGGCATTCTCCGTCAAGATCCTCGAATACCGGTACAATCCACTCATAACAGAGGTATATTGCAGTGCTGTAACGTATAGCACCAAATACTCGGACGCTCGTGCCTTTCAGAGGTACTTACTCTTCTTACCTTACGAGAGAGAAAGAAAAATAAAACAAAACAAAAAAAAAAAAAAAGACAGTACCGGTAGCTGACTAGGAACGTTTATCGTCTCCCATTTCCAGATAACAACGTCCTTCAAAGCGAGAGAACTCGCAGAGTGACGAGTGCAGTAAAATTACCGTACTTGCACGGCACAGTCTTTGGTATCATAATAGGCAAACGGCGTTGGTGCAAGTTTGGTAACCTACCTGCCCTTCTCTCCCTCCTCCTCTCCCCACTCCCTCCACACCCACACATACACCCCACCCTGCCCCTTTCCTCCATACCTCGCTCGCTACCTGACGGGAAACTCTGATCACACGAGCAGCTGTCTGGAAGCGAGAGAACACCATCGCAGAACGTGGGGCAGGTTATCCTCGTCTATCGCACATCACATCTGCAATTCTGACATTTAACTGACTGACTGACTGACCAGCCGATTGCACTTTGTGCTGTACCTTCAAAAGAGCATATTCGTCCTACGAGCTACCGACAAACGTCCGTCCCGGCCCCGACAGTAGTGCCGGTATCGTACTTGCGCTACCTTATTCCCGGTGCATACCCACCTCTCCTACCGATACTGGTGCCTGTCACTTGACGGTCAACCTTGCCAACCAATAACGGCTGCTAGAATCTACTCTACCGGTAGGACCTAAACTGCAATTACATATGTCGCAAACATAGTACTAACACTTGAAGAAAGGGGATTCTCCTTGTCAATTCTTTGGGCCCTTCTCCCTCTTCCTCTGAGTACCCCCCCCCACATGTTCAATAGCAATGCCTCCAAGTAGCCTTCCCGCTGCTTCAGCGCTCCAGCCTTCGGATCCTCAAATGCCAGAACAATCGTCTCCTGTTTCGCCTTCTCCCACAAAGGCGTCTCAACCGAGGGCTATTTTGCCCAAATCTTCTTCGATAAATTCCAAAACTAATTACATCTCACCTTATCGACAAACGCCCCCATCTGGAAGATCGGTTTCTTCACCACTTGCCAGGTCCTCGGCAATAGCATCATCACCATCGGCCACAAATGTTCACTCTCCTAATTTTAAGGATATCGTGAATCGGTTCAATACAAAGCAGGATGAGAAGGTTCCAAATCCCAGTAACCGCATCCCCGCTGTCGCCGCTGGACCCAACGCTGCTAGGGCTAGAAAACCGCCGGCCTGGAAGCCAGCAGGTGGTGGGGGTGCGCAAACGGGTGGGTCTACACGGTCGAACAATCAATCCACGACTGGAAGAAGTAGAGCTGGCGAGCGCTCAGGATCAGCTCAATCGAGTTCCATTACAGGTAAAGGGAAAAACTCGGGTCGCGCTCGACGGCCCACTACTTCAATGAGCAATGGTGCCGAAGAGGCTACAAATGCTCGGAATCTACTGCCGCCACTGGATACATCCTTTAACGACAAACCTGCTGCCCCAAATAGACATCGGCGGAGCCGCTCGGCGCTCGAGATTCACTCGCCCTCTGCAGCCTCACTGGCTGATACCGAAGGGGAGACAAGTAGCGCCGGGTTTTCAGCGCATCCATTACGGCATCGGAGAAGTAGATCCAACGCAGAAATATTTTCTTCTCCTGTTGATGTAATGGAGGTAGACGCAATATTTGCTCAGTCTGCCGCTGTACCTAAGAGCTCACATTCACCCCGCTCCGTTTCCACAGCGAAATCCAATATTCCGGTAGTAAGACACTCGCCAACTCTGGACTATAGGTACGGTGCCCGGAACACCTCCTCTAGGACCACCAGCTTGGCACCCGTCGCAGTGTCCTCCCATGGTTCACGGCATACCCCTCAGCCTAGCACTAATTCTAGATTGATGGTGTATATTGGCACACCCCAGCCAACAAAATCTCCGCCATTGAGGTCATCCCGTGGACAGCGCTTGCCAACCTCAATTTCCGCAGCTGCGCCTAGACAGAAGTTTCAAAACGGTTCACAAAACTCATCATCTTATTCCAGGGAAACAAATCTTCAGCGCGGTAGAGGCGCAAAGACTTTTGAACCCGAGAATAATCGGGGAAGGGATGTAAAAAAGAAGATTCCGGAGTTAGGGACTGTGGATTTTGCCGCCAGAAGAGCTCGAATTCAAAACGCTTTTAATAAAACTTTAAAAGAGACATCCCAATTGAAAACAAATGTTGTCTGTAAGGAAAGTTCAAAACAGAGTTTGAGAGGGGAGATAGTCGATGACTGTGATGGAAGCAATGGTGATATAAGAGGTGGTTATCAGGAAAGAATTGAAGAAGAGGACGAAAATGAGCTTGGAGAATCCCCTAAAGGCGATAACGCGGAAGATGCTGCAGAGATTCATAAGGAAATTGTGGGGGGCTCGGCTGTTCCTGAGCCAATCGAATCCGAGTTCATCTCTGTCCTGCCTACCAGATCTGAATCTGCGGAGATGGGTGCTGAGCCCTACTTTGACGGGCCAGGAATCAATGATCTTTGGGATAGGCGACAATCTTTATCTTCAAGCCGAAGGTCGTCTCTCTCGTCTTTTGACGAGAGGCCGCCGCTAACCGAAGACCCGCATGCTAACCAAGCTCCCAGATACCGTCGGGCCGTGAGTGGTAGTGCCAATAGTGCTAGTGTAAGTCCTGATTCACCTCAAGAGCCGCCTCCAGCAGAAAAGACAGGAAGCGAAGAGCCGACAATTCCCGTCATCGTCACACCCGACATGCCCTCAGATCCTTTGCGACTTATGCACATACCACAGCTTCTCAGGCCTGATTCGGCAATGACAGCCTGGAGTGTGGCGACCGGCCCAAATAGGGACTCTTCCGATATGAGAGGCGGGACAGCACACCAGGTCGTCAATTGTATTGGTTCAATTATCGAGGCTCCGGAAGGCAACCAACTGGAGGCGACCACGAGAACTAAAGCAGATTCTATTTCGGTAACATCTGATACCACGGAGAGGGCAAATCTGTCTCCAATGGCTGCAACATCTGCGTCAAGTACACCGTTGGATGATAGGGCTACTATTGTTGATGTATTCGACCATTACGATGAGCCACGAGAAGACTTTTTGAAATCCTATGCGGATACCGAAGAAGAAGTGACGGAGTTTGAGACAGGAACAGATACTGTTGACGAGTATGCAGATGATATGGATGAGGAGACCGGGGACGGAGAAACTGAGGAAGGAGAAACCGAAGGGACTGAGACTGAGACCGAGACCGAAGAGGATACAGAAGTGGAAGAGACCACTAGCACCGAAGGCTACGATGACTATGTTGAAGATAGCGAACTGTGCGATTACACGTCTTGCTCTGAGATTCCGAGCTCGGCTCGACCCAGCATTGATGGCCAGTCAGAAGGTTGGGAAACTACTTCGTCCCGGGCTAGTCCGGAGTTGGATATTCACCCTACCAAGAGACAATCGATCCAAATGCTTGATTCGCCAACTACTCCTCGACAATACATCGAGGAGGCAGAATCACCACTTCCTCCAACACCTCCCCCAAAGGACTACCATTTCTTACCCCCCACACCCCCTGCAAAGGACCCACCTAGAGCTGTCTCACCTGCCCCCTCAGCGATGAGCACTGCGCCAATCCACCCTAGCAATAGAATGCCTCCGCATACCCCACTCCAATTACCGGAAATTGAAAGGGATACCGAGCCTCTAGGACTAGCTATCAATGTCTTTCCTACCTACACTGAGCGAACGGCCTCACCACTCCCTCCCCCACCGGGTAACAGACCCAGCCTAGACCGCTGGAACACCTCTTCTGCAATGGACTATTACGGGGATAATCCAAGACAGAGCCAGGATTCACAGAATCCTTATTCTGGCAGGCAAAGCTTAGACCAATACTCGCATAGACCAAACCTGGACCGCACGCACTCTTATCCAGGAAAGCAGTCAAATTCCCCTTCTTCGAGCTTTTATTCAGAGCTTGAATCTCGCCATAGTTCTGTGTCGGTTGGGCCTAATGGATACCGTCACCCGGAAACCCCACCATCTTCCATGGCGCCAACTAAGCATGGGTCCTCCTCCATTCATTCTCAAGAGCATTCTGGTCCAAGGGAAGCTCCAGAGCAGAAGTTGTTGATCAAACGTCGCCACCTACTGAAGGAGTTGGTGGATACCGAGAGTTCTTATTTCCGGGATATGACTGTCGCAATGGAGATCTATAAGGGTTCTGCAAATGCTTGTTCCTCTATCACCCTTGATGATATAAGGGTCTTGTTTGGAAATACGGATGCCATCGTGCAGTTTTCGAAAGCCTTTTTGGAGTCTCTGAAAGCAGCGGTAGGGAGTGTCTACGTCCTGCGCAGGGCCCGGAGCGGCGTGAACAGCAGCGCTGTGAGTGTAGTGAACTCGCCAAATAGCGGGGATGAAGATAGTAGGTCTAATTTCTTTGACGACATTGCCAACGAAGAGGAGAAGGATAGGAAAACATATGTTGGTGAGGTATTCATGGATATGTTCTACAACATGGAAAAGGTCTATGGTGAATACTGCAAGAATCACGACAACGCGGTTGGGCGATTACAAAAGCTAGAGGGCAACAGGGGTGTGGCGATTTGGCTGGCGGTAAATGCCTCCTTTCCCTAACGATTTCTCTAGGATGCTGACAAGGGTATAGGAATGCAAAACATGCGCCGAAGACCTCACAAATGCTTGGAATCTGGAATCGCTACTCATCAAGCCTGTTCAGCGAATACTGAAGTACCCGCTCTTGCTTACCCAATTGCTTGAATGCACACCTCGAAGCCATCCCGATTTTACTCAGCTAGAAGTGGCTGCAAAGGAGATGAAGTTCGTTGCGGATCGTATCAATGAAATGAAGAAAAGAAAGGACATGGTCGAACGAATTGTGGGCCGCAAGAGAGCCGAGACGGATATCCGTCATGGAATTACCAAGGGCTTCGCACGTCGTGCTGAAAAGCTCAAGCAATCTGTGGGACTATCAGAGGTCGTGGTGGACGAAGTCTACAATAGGCTTTTTGAGAACTATAACATGCACTTTGTCCAGGTCCAGGTGATAATACGGGATATTGAAATCTATACAATGGATATTCAATTGCACATAGAGAGGTTTCTAGAATTCACGCAAACGATCAAGGAATTTGTCGACATATCCCATACACAACACCCCGAGATTGAAGTGAAATGGAGAAAGTTCGATAGCGCTATGAAAGAGATGGCATCCACCTACCTTCAAGAGCATGTGAGTATCTCTGGGATTGGTTCTTGGTAATCCTTGCTAACTAGGGCAGAAACTTCGCGTACGCAAACACTCAATTGAGCCTCTAGAAATGCTTCTGAAGATGCACGAAAGCCCACAACGGATCATGACGAAGCGTAACAAAAAGGCGGTGGACTATGCCCGATATAAGGCAATTAGGGATCGAGGGGACACTCCAGACAAGAAGTCCATTGAACTCGCTGATGCATATGTCGCACTGAATGAAACACTGATTGACGAGCTCCCAAAGCTATTTAGATTGACAAAGAAGCTTATTGACACCGTCTTATTAAATTTTGTTGAATTGCAGGGCCTATGGATGAATAGTTGGGCCGCCAAGCTTCGGATGACCTTCACAGAGATGGATATGCCCTCTGAGTTGGATACCATTGTCAAGGATTTCATGGGGGACTTTTCGTATAATGAACAGAGTCTCAATCATATGGGGATTTGCAACGGTGAGAACTTGTTCTTTGTAGCGAGTCTTGTAAATCGACTAACGCTCGGAGAAAAGGGACTTTGAAAGCCATGTTATTACCACAAACCCAGTTCCTCTCTCCCTCCTCGACATTATCTCTTGATGCCTTTGAATACCCACGGAGGCCATCGACTTCCGAAGGGAATGAGCTTTCCCTTCCGGGACGAGATAGAGCCTTGTCTTTGACGAGTCATTCCCCAACGGCCTCGAGTTTCGACAAGCCCTTTGAGGAGCGTCGTCATAGCGGCGGGTCCACCCTTTCTCCCTTAATCGCGATGGCTCCTATCCTTCCAATATTGCCTCAGATAGCCAATAACCCCCGAGGGCGAGCTGGGTCAGCACAGCTACAGAGGTCCCCCATGAGGATTACTCCACCGGTTCCTCAACGATCGTTCTCAACCATGACCGCTGACAGACAACTACATACGCCAGTCACTCGTGACTACTCACCATCTCTGTCTGATCGTCCTGGATCTAGAGCCTATTCGTCAGCATCGACGCTGTTTGATGGTCCGGAAACCCAGACAGCCCATACTTCAAGCACGACCTTAGCAGACCCACGGGCGGAGCCCCTTACCCGTTCTGCTTCTCCAGCACCTGCCCCAATGTTTTCGTCAGCAATGCCAATGGAGGACGATAGGGAGATGAAATCTGACAGTGAATCCCAGTCAGGAAACCCATCACGTAGCGCTTCGCGGGCGCCGTCTGTGGCGTCATCAAGACAAAGTCAGCGACGGACATTAACGTTGTCCAATAACAGTACCCCTATATTTGTTGTGGCTAGTCTGTACGAGTTTAACATTGATAAACAACGGAGAGAGGGTGGATTCCCGTATCTTACTTATGTACAAGGAGAGATTTTTGATGTATGCTCTCACCTTTTCCCTTGCAGCTAGGGTATACTAACAACTCATAGGTGGTGGGAACAAAAGGAGAGATCTGGTTGGCTAAAAACCAAGATGACGCAAATGGCGAACTTGGCTGGATCTGGTGCAAGCATTTCGCTCGTCTTTAGTTTTTCCTTCCTCCAATTGTACTGCGCACACTTTCCATTTCCACACGTCCCCGTCCACCTTGGAGCCCCCTCGCCGAAAATAAAGTAAAATCAAGGACAAGCCTCGAATTTTGTAAATGCAATGATCTGGTTACGCGTTTTCCTTCTTTTTCCTTTCTCTTTTTTTCTTTCTTTTCTCCCAATCAAGTCAGATCAAATCAAGCAAATATACCCTAGCTAATATTTTCATTCTTTCCATTCTTTTTTTTCTTTTTTTTTTAGTTTCACCTGTGGAGCGAGGACGTCCTCTCGTTTTCATCCTGTTTTTTCTTTACCATTCGTCATTATACGCATTTTCTCTTTCCATCACCATCTACCTATCCATTCACCTATGGAACTCTTTTTTCTTTCTTTTTCCATATTTTTCCCCTGGAAACCGGGTGTTAGGTGCATTGTTTTGTGAGCGTGTGGGCGGCGTCATTTTTAAAAGGTAGTTTTTACTATACCCTCTCATCAACTCTTTCCCTTTCCCTTTTACTTTTCCTGTGGTACAGTATGGTACAAGCTAGTTAGTTGTAAAGTTAGTAAATGCATTGTTGGTCACGTATTGCGGGCTGATTATTTATCGAGGGTTTGAGGCATCATACCTGTACGGCACTGTCGGCTGGATGGATGATGGGCGTAAGGGATTATCTTATGGGTTAACATATTGGACGGGGAAGTGGATCAGACGCAGAAGAGAATCACTTTGTATGTTAATTTTGCTTGGATCCTCACTATATAAATATCCGCGAAACCAACCCTCCGAATTTAGCTCAAAAGGGGCCAAAATCTAGTATAATGCTGTATTTGGGATGCCTCCTGCCTGCACTGTGGTATTTCGTCTTCCTACTGTTAGGCGTTAGTTGAGATTCTTAAGTTTTGACATTTCTAGTGCTTTTTAATTGATTTGCTTCCCCGTCTAATCAGCTTCCCGGTCCAATACGTCATCATACATTTTTTTCTTCCTTTCCTGTCAGAGGGTAGAGGTGCCTGGTGGTGGGAATTTACTTATAAGCTAAGGTTGGCGAGCGCTACAAACTCTCCGAGTGACTATTCATGCCTGGAATTGTGCTTATCGGCAACTCGCGCTAGCCCGTTCGCCATAATTCCACAAACACAACGCGATAATAATAGTAATAATAGATTACAGTACATCCACCATCAATAGATCTACAGCAAAAGGAGAACGAGGGAAATAAGATAAAAAATAAAAAATCACCACCCACTATTACCACGACTCTAGTCAAAAAGAAAAGAAAAAGAAACAGGGGAAAGAGAAAACCATTTAAAGGTTCTCGATACTAGCCAATAACTGCAAAGGGTCAAAATCTGCTTCTTTCTCAGTGGCGCTGAGAATGGTTTTGGCCCTGGTATCATTAGTCGTGCTATCATAGCCAGCGAACACGAAAGGAAGGGGGAAGGGAAAAAAGTACCATTTTGTAGTCTGTCGCTCTTTAAGTTCCTTCTCTAATTGGGAGGATTTTACACCTGCGACTGGGTGGGTGTTAGTCTCTGAAGTGAGAGGGATGAATGGAGGGGTGGTGCGGGGATTACCTTCTATGCAGCGTTGCGGTAGGCCAGCTAGTCTTGCAACGTTCAGACTAGAGTTTCGTTAGGGATTTTTTTCCCTTGCGCATAGATACTTAGGAGAGCGGGGAAGAGGGTACTTACCCATAAGATCTATGTGCGACGCCCTCTCCAATTTGGTATAGGAATGTGATATTTTCGGTTCCGTCTTCATTAGTCAGTCAGTCATTGGCTCGGTTTAGGCTGGAAAATGGGGGGGGGTATTACCATTAGCCTCCTCAAATTTCATATGCGCGTTCATCGCATTCTCCGGGTACCTCTCGCCAAACTGCGCGAGTAGCGGGTAATGCGTGACGAATAGGCACATACTCTTAAGCTCGGTGATGACGTAGTCGAGAACGGCGTTCGCGATAGCCACACCATCATGCGTGCTGGTTCCGCGGCCGAGCTCATCGAGGATCACGAGGCTGCGGTTGGTGGCCTGCTTGAGGATGTCGCTGGTCTCGTTCAGCTCCACCATGAAGGTGGACTCGCCCGCCATCATGTTGTCGAAGGCGCCCATCCGCGTGAACACCGCGTCCAACATGCCAACCCTCGCCGCGGAGGCAGGGACGTAGCTGCCCACTTGGGCCATTATGGCTATCAGCGCCACCTGACGTACGAATGAGGACTTGCCGCCCATGTTTGGTCCAGTGACGATCATTGCGCGCTGCTTGTCCGAGAAGAGATGGATGTCGTTGGGGACGTAGGCGTCCAGGAGGAGCTGCTCCACCATTGGGTGTCGGCCTTCGCGCACTTCTATGCATGGCTCCTCCGTGAACTCGGGCTTGACGTAGCCGGGTTGGTTGGCGACGGCTGCGAGGGAAATGAGGCAGTCCAAGGTTGCGAGAGATTGAACGCAGTCGCGAAATTCTTGGTATTTGGTCGAGATCTCGGCGAGGAACTTTGCAAAGGCCCGATTGCATTCCGCAGCAAGCGATTCCTTGTGCTGATCACGTTCGCGAAGCAACTTGATTACTTCAGGTGTGTGGAACCGGGAAACCTTCCTCGTTCTGGCAACCATTTTAGCTGGAGGGATTAAGAGCAGTCGGGGCGCATGAGCTTACCCGTTCATCTTGACCCAGGTTGCTGGCACGCTTTTCAGTATGTTTTTCTCGTTTGAAACTTCGACAAGATACTTGGGGTCGTTAGAAAATAAAGCAGTGGGGCTTGCGGGGGGTAGTTGGGTATACCTCTACACCAGACACGCTGACGTACACGACCTTTCTTTTCAGCACTGCTGCGATCTCATTCAAATGCTCATTTAAGTCACCTTCAACACCAGCGATCCCCTGATTACGCACGTGGGTTAGCTTTGCCACTTGGCGCGAAGGGGGCGCGAACCATTTTGTGTTCGTTGATAGCTTCATAGTTGTCACCGTCTTTGAAAAAGTCATACTTGTCATCTTTGGCTGCCTGTGAATGATTGAAGACATCTAGATAAGCCTCCACATCATCCTTAATCCGAGGAAGGTTTGCGAGAGCCTCATTCAAGATCTTAGAATTGAAGCCCACATCCTCAGGTTTATCAACGGGGGGAAAGGTGTTGGCAATTCTGTTTAATGTCTGTAGGATCGATAGGAGTTCTGGGCGAGAGCACTACCCGAGGGGGTCAGACGAGCACAAAACCGTTCGAGGCAAGGGGCAAACCTTTCCGTAGTATATACGGATGAGGCCCTTTTCTAGGTCATAGGATATTTTTGAAAGCAATTCTCTCAATCGCTCCAGTTTTGGACTCTTCCCACCCTTGATCTCTTCGACAGCTTCTATCCTTTCCTCCAGACGCTCTTTGTCCAACAAAGGCCTTCCGACCCATTTCCGGAGCTGCCTCTTCCCGAATTTTGTTTTTGTCCGATCCAAAGTCCAGAACAAGCTTCCCTTGGTCGAAAAATCGGTCTGGTTGCGGTAGATCTCGAGACTTGATAAAGTGTTGCCATTGAGTAGCATGTGAGACCTCGCGCTGAAGGATTTGAAGTATTTTGTAAGGTCAAAGATGTGTTCGAGCCCATAGCTGGAGAGATGGGTTATTAGAGCCGAGAGGCAGATGGTCACAAGATCCGGTAGATTCATGACAATCTCGAGAAGTCCTGTCTAGCAATCAGTATATATCTCAATTCAATTGAGACCATACGAGGCGGCTACGAACTGTTTGACTCTGCGGCTTCTGGAGAATCGGCTGATTTAAGCTTATCCGCATAGAATTTGGAGACATGACTCGGGGCTAAAATCTTCGCATCTTTCTTACCCTCCACACGCTCTATACGTATCTGATCCCCCAAAACGGTGGTTCTAACCAAAGATTAGCCCACATAGCTAGCATGAAACATTCGTATAGGGGGAAACTTACGTGCTACCTGCCAGGTGGGAAACTAACTTTTCTGTAGCTTTTGTCAACTCTCCAACGATAAGGAATTCGCATGGCGCAACTGAGGAAAATGGGTCAATTCTAAAACTTGGCTCTCAGGGCTATTGTATGCATCTCACTGTGTAACAATCTGGTCTCGATTTCACTTCTCATAAAACCATCATCGAATTCATCATATATCACGTCCCCCGTCGCAGGCTGCACAGCAACAATCCCCACATGCGCTTTCTCATCCATACCTGTGCCACCTCCGGGCTTCTCGGCAATACAGAGCATAAACCCAGTACCCGCAGCTCCCCCACTTCCAGCCCCTGCAGCCAGATCACCGTCCAACCCATCCACATCGTCAATGTATGTGCCTTTAGTATATAGGTTGGTCAACTTTCTCTCAAATGGCGCATTTCTATTATCTCCTGCTGCTTTGAGAGCTGCTGTTTCCACCTGGCGAACCACTCCAACCTTGTGGCCAGCAGTTACGAGCCGTTTTACATGGACATGAAGACGGTGGGTTGGGATGCTAGCTGAGGCGAATTTATCGAGATGTGATTCTGATGAGTGCTCGTCGAATCGCATCTTGCCCGGAATGCACATTATACTCAAAACTTGACTCGCAGTCCTCGCATCCTCACCAAAAAACCTGAACTTGTATCCCACTTCGATCACCAGAAGTGTGTCAGGATTCTTCCTCTTGATCTCGACAACCTGCCGTTCCAACGGGGTAAGCTTTTTACCACCCTTGGGTGGAGCTTTCCCTTTTGCGCTCCCCCCAAATCTCTTAGCAATAGGCCCTGGTTCGTCATCCTCCGGCTCCTCGGGATCCTGCTCTGCCGCCTCTTCCTCAACCTCCACCCCATGGGCCTCGGGCACAGGGCCCGGCTTCCCCAACTTTTGTACGAATTTCTCGTGCAATTTCTCCCTCCTCTTCTTCGTAGCCGAATCAACAGGTTCGCCGTCTATATCCATGGCGTCCGCAAAAGGGTTGTAGAGATACTTGAGAGTTCTTCCCGAGTCTGCCGCCTTCTTGGTTCGGGACGCCGCCGCTGGTGCTAAGAAATTTGCCTCCTTTTTTCTTGTCTCCTCGTTCTTCTCCCCCCCCGACTCTAGATTTGCCATCGGTTCAGGACTCCTTTTCAATTTCTTCTTTGCGATACTGGTAGTCCCTGGCTTGCTGTAGTAGTCATCATCATCTGTCGCTTGCTCCACATCTTCGGCGTCCTCGAGAACTCGCTTCTGGGTTACCCTCCTGCGAGTCCGTGGTGGGGAGTCCGGTTCTCTCTCATTCTCCTCCTGGTCGGCGGTCTTGTTCTCCTTCTCATCGGGCTTCCTCTTCTTTATCGTTGGTGTGGCAGACGAATTGTCCGTACTGGTCTTTCCTGGGGATTGCTTCGGGGCAAAGAAACTAGATATCATGCGCTGCTTCCCCTGCGGGGCTTTTCCGGGAGCATTGCTGGGGGTTTTGGATTTGCCCATCGCTTCTGCTCTTTGGTGGTTGGAGAGGGTTCGACTTGGCCGGGGAAATTGACGCGTTGGGGCGACAGCAACGGGGACGCGTTGGGTGGTGAGCTCTGCGCTAGTCACAATCGGGAAGTCAAATTGCCTCTCGCGGGGTTAGGGTTCTCGATACCTTGAAGGAAAGTTTGTCTTGCTAGTCTATCCCCATGGCACCCGAAATGCAATGCGTATTTCTCTAATGACAAATTTTCACTACTCGTGCGCAGCGAGTACTGTGCAGTGTACAGTATCTCATAATTGTCGACACCACCTCTCGTTTGCCTACATTTTTTACGCCTCGGAATGCCAAACGTCAAATTACCGTAAATTTAATTGCGGCATGTCAGCATTAAGCCGGAATGTTAGAGGTATCATGAATAGTCACTCGTGGCACCCCACCACCCCGCCTTCCGCATAGTTGTGTGATAAAGAGGGAGGATAACAAAGTGACCTGATGGATGCTGCAACCAAAGAGATAGCAGCTGGAATTGGTGAAGACCTCCGAACACCAGGATACCCGAACACATCCAGAGTAGCTGGCGAAAGAAACCATAATCTCGAAAGATAAGCGTCATACCTCCTAATCCACTGCTAGAGGTCTCGTTAATAGCGAGTTCGCAGACGGCGAACTCGGAGGGACTTCCACGATATCGTATCGGTAAATACAAGCTTCCGGTCGAAAAAACGGAAATCAAGAGCCAGAAACACGGTTGCTAAACTGGCTCGAGCTCACTGAATGCTTCGATCAAACCCCCAGAAGCCCGATCCCCGTTTCCCGATTCTTCTTCGACCGGAGGCTGCGGTGGCTAGTCCATCTCCTCACCTTCATTCTCTACCTGGGCCATTGCTACCCAATGGCTATCACCAGGTCCTGCTACGATTCTTCTACCACGAGCTATCGCGTATCGAGACACTTGGTATTCAAAAAATATCATTTCCCTCAAGCCTAGCCAATGAGGTTTTGTTAGATCCGACTTCTTTTTTGCATCCATAGGGTCCACCACCGCCCGGAGGGACCAGGGGCGCAAGGAGGGCAATTAGTGTGCAAGATACAGGTTTGTAGCGGCATTCAAGGTTAATGAATCCGCTTTCTTGGAGCTATGGATGGCGCGCTACTATAGCACTTGCGTAGCTTCCGATTGGATGACTGCACCCTGTTGTATTCTGTAATAGACTCCTCAAGTCGCCGGATAGGGGTTGCATTTCCTTTGATAGTAACGCGCCAAGGGGAGAGCAACTCTGATCCGGCGACTTGAATATTTTCCGTATGGAAGAGACTAGAGATAATATAAGGGAATGGGTTTGGGGTTGACGAATCGGAGATAGCGAAGAGAGAGAGTGTGCGCGCAACACAAAAGAAGAGGAGAAGGAAGTGAAATGGAGGCATTCTAGACGCCGAGAATAGAGGAAGCTTGAAATCTAAATAATATGAAGGAAAATGTAGCCCGAAGATATATAGTACAAAGTGATGTGGGAAACATAGGCTAAAAATATAAAGCACATCTGCTTTATGAAATAGTCTTTAGCTAAACCAAGTCCGTCTCAAGCCTTCAAGTGTCACCTGAAACCGTCCGGAATGACCTGCTGCTAGGAAAAGGAGTATCAAACAACTGACGAGAAGAGGGCAAGGATAAGGGATAATAGGGTATGGGCCAAGCCATCGAATCTCTGAGCCACCTCGGGGGCCACTGTTGTCTCATCATTACCGACACTTGTCGGAGTATCCCCTGGAGGGTTCTCAAGAATGTCGACTAACAATGGCGAAAGATTGAACAAGGAGTCAACAATGGTTTCGATCTCATCCTCTTCGCCACCACACTCGGAGTCGCCGTCAGGGAATAGCTGGCTGATCCCCAGGTACATCCCGCAGGCGTCTCGGAGTACAGATATGCGTTCCTTGCGTAGGGTGTCTGAGGTGAAAATTCTTGAATTTAGTATTGGAGAATGCAGCGGGGTTTAGGGAGTAAGATTGCGTAATTACCATTGGAGTGTGAGGTTCGGGTAGTAAGGATGTTGCAAAGATCTGCTAGAAGGGTGATTGTGGCCTCCTCTAGCATTGGTGATTTCTCAAGGATTTTGTCTAGCTGACCATGGGGTGTGTCATACTCGTCGGCCCACAATCTAAATCTGCCAAGGTGCCTAAATTGAGTTAGACCGTGATCGACACGGAGCGCGCGGAGGCAGCATTTGATAAGGCGGGTGGATAGTGGTTCGAAACGAGGTGAGAGTGGTTCGGCGGGTTTCTGGCTCTCAATTGTGGACGGTGGAGGTTTTCCATAAATTTCGGGCGACTCAGGAATCGGTTCTTGATTTGTTGGCATCCTTGCTGATGCCTCAGAGACTTGCTCATCAGCAGAAAGGAGTGGTATCTCTCCGTGTCTTTTTTTCTCTTCGTATCTGCTTCCGGAATGGGACTGGGGGAAAGCTATGTACTTGCCTTCTGCAGGATTGGGCCTCGATCGCTCTAGGCTAATAGGGGGTGGTAGGTACTGTGGACCGGGAACAGGAAAGTCTGGCTGGATCGGCGAGTATGCTGGCCCGAGCTCGTGCCCTAATGGCCCGTCTAGTATAGGCCTGTTCCCACGGGATGGGCTGGTGGGGACCCTTTCTTTTAATAACTCGGCAATTACAGTGTGGCCATTAAATGCAGCCCAATCGGCTGGGGATTTTTCATCAATGTCTGTCAAGTTGGGTTTTACCCCGCGGCAGTCGAGGAGAAGTTTGACTACTTCATCGTGCCCGTTAAGGCTGGCCCAAAAGAGTGGTGTCCGCCTATTGTTGTCTTGTGAGTTAGGATTAACACCGGCTTGGGCCAAAAGGGTTCGTACTATCCGCTGATGTCCCTTCTTGGAGGCAAGCGAGAGCGAGGTTTGGCCACGCTTGTCCCGCGCGTCAGCGGCGGTGTGCTCACAACTGAGAAGTTGCTTTAGTATTCCTTCATGTCCGTTTAATGCGGCCCAAAGAATGGGTGTTCGTTCATCGTTGTCTTTTGCATTTGGGGTAGTATTGTTGTGACCAAGCAGAGCCGCTACTATTCCATCGTGGCCATTCGCGGCAGCCCACGAGAGTGGCGTTCTACCGTTGTCGTCTGTCGGGTGAGGCTTTGGGTCATTCTGGCTTAAGAACATCTTCACAATCGCCTCATGCCCGTTCTTAGAAGCCCACAAGAGAGGTGTCCGGCCACGTTGGTCTACTGGGGTAGGATTGACTTTTTTGTGACGAAGAATCATCTCCACCATATCCTCATGGCCATTCTCAGCAGCCCATGATAGAGGTGTCTGGCCATGATTATCTCCTTCGTTGGGATCGATCAGTTGTCGGTCCAGTAGCAGCCTCACAACTCCTTTGTGCTTATTTTGAACGGCACGGAGTAGTGGTGTCCTGTTGTAGTTGTCTGCAATGTCGAGGCCGATATCACCTCGAGCTAATAGTAGTTTCAATATCTCTTCGTCCCCGCTCTCGGCAGTCCAGAAAAGTGGCGTACGACTTTGGATATCTCTGGTGTTGGGGTTCACTACCGGGTCTTGTTGACTTAGTAACAGCTTTACCACCCCCTCCCGCTTCTTCTCAACTGCCCAAAATAGTGGTGTTTGGCCCCGGTTGTCCGGTAGGTCTAGGTTCATCCCACTACGGGCGACCAATAGCTTCACCGCCTCCTCGTGCCCATTTCCGGCAGCCCAAGAAAGCGGGGTTCGGCCATGGTGATCCTGTGAGTTGGGGGTGATGTCTTCCACGCTCAATAATAGTCCAAGTGTTGTGCCATAACCATGCTCGGCAGCCCAAGAGAGCGGTGTTCGGCCATTGTTATCGTGTAGGTTCGGGTCGACGTTCTTTTGCTGCAATAGTAGGTTCGATGTCGCCTCATGTCCACTGCTAGCAGCCCAAGAGAGCGGTGTTCGGCCACTGTTGTCGCCAGCGTTTGGTTTGACCTGATTTTCCTGCAATAGTAAGTTCGTTGTCGCCACATGTCCGTTGCTAGCGGCCCAAGAGAGCGGTGTTCGGCCACTGTTGTCGCCAAAGTTTGGGTTGACCTGTTTTTCCTGCAATAGCAAGTTCGTTGTCGCCTCGCGACCGTTGCTAGCGGCCCAAAACAGTGGTGTTCTGCCCCGGTTATCCGGCAAGTCTAGGCCGATGCCATCATGGGCTATTAATAACTTCATCGTCTCTTCGTGCCCATTCCCAGCGGCCCAGGAGAGCGGTGTTCGGCCATTGTTGTCGCCCAGGTTCGGGTTGAAATCCTCTTGCTGCAATAGCAGATTCGTTGTCGCCCCATGCCCGTTGCCGGCGGCCCAAGAGAGCGGTGTTCGGCCGCTGCTGTCCGTAGAATCAGTGATGGCGGGCCTATGGTCTAACAGCATTTTTAGGGTACTTGCGTGCCCGCTCCCGGCTGCCCAGGAGAGTGGCGTTCGCTTACCGTAATCCATAGAATTGGGGATAGCGGCCTCAAGGGCGAGCAGCAGTTGCAAAACATCCTCGCGTCCATTTCGAGCGGCCCAAGATAGTGCTGTCTGGCCGAAGTGATCAGGGAGGTTGGGGTCGACATCTTTGCTATCTAGTAACATTTGCACAATCCATTTGTGTCCATTCGCGGCAGCCAAAGAGAGGGGGGTTCGGCCCTCAATCCCCAGTAAGTCGGCATTGACACCGTTTCGGCCCAGAAGCTTTTGCACGAGATCCGCACGGCCCTTTGCAGCGGCCCATGAGAGTGAAAAGGGACAACTATCTTCACTGGAATCGGAGATATCACCTTCGATGTTTAACAATAGTCGTACAATATTTTCGTGGCCTGCTGCAGCAGCACGACAAACGGGTATGTCATTTTGCTCTTCAGGATTATTAGGATTGAACAACATCTTTACTACTTCTTCGTGTCCTCCGTGGGCAGCCCATGAGAGCGGCGTTTGGTGGTCATCGTCCGGAAAGACGGGATTGACATGACCGCGGTCCAACAATAGCTTTACTACTTCCTCATACCCTTTGTGGGCGGCCCACGAGAGCGGCGTTCGGCGGCCGTTGTCCCAAGAGTCGGGCTTGACGTCACCGCGGTCCAATAATAACTTAACTACTCCCTCATGCCCTTTTTGGGCAGCCCACGAGAGCGGTGTTCGGCAGTCACAGTCCGAAGAGTCAGGGTTGACATCACCGTGGTCCAACAATAGCTTTACTACTCCCTCGTGCCCTGCGTGGGCAGCCCACGAGAGCGGTGTTCGGCCGATGTTGTCCGAAGAGTTGGAGTTGACATCCTTGCATTCCAAAAGCAGTTTTACGACTCCCTCATTCCCTTCGTGGGCAGCCCACGAGAGCGGTGTTCGGCCAACGCCGTCCGAAGAGTCGGGGCTGGCATCCTTGTGTTCCAACAGCAGCTCTACGACTCCTTCATTCCCCTCGCGGGCAGCCCACGAGAGCGGTGTTCGGCCGACGTTGTCTGAAGAGTTGGGGCTGACATCCTTGCATTCCAAAAGCAGTTTTACGACTCCCTCATTCCCCTTGCGGGCAGCCCACGAGAGCGGTGTTCGGCCAACGCCGTCCGAAGAGTCGGGGCTGACATCCTTGTGTTCCAACAGCAGCTCTACGACTCCTTCATTCCCCTCATGGGCAGCCCACGAGAGCGGCGTTCGGCCGACGTTGTCCAAAGAGTCGGGGCTGACATCCTTGTGTTCCAACAATAGCTTTACTACTCCCTCATGCCCTATGTGGGCAGCCCACGAGAGCGGTGTTCGGCCGTCACTGTCTGGAGAGTT